AGAAGCTCACTAGCATAGCCTTTGATGCTCTGTTCATTTTTTTTCCCCTAGGACTCTGGCTTGACGCAAATTTTGCCATATTTACCTCTAAGGGACTCACATGCAATAAGTTCATTCAATTTAGAAAATAAAGAAATGTAAAATTAAAGTGGCAAGAGCTTTCTCATTCAGTTATTTTTAGGGATTTTGGGAGATTAGTTTTGCCCCTTGCTGCTTAAAAATCATCATGAATTTACAAAAGATTTATCTGTTAGCAGTCTCTCTAGGAGGCACTGAGAAGACACTATTTTTCACATTTACACAATAAAGATCAAATGGCTCGACAGGACCCCAATGGCTCAGAAGAACCCTAAAAGCCTTCCCTGTCATGGATCAGACGACCAAGTAGTTTTAATAAATGGCTTAATAGTCCCAAAATAGTTTACAGCTGAAACAGCTCAGAAGAACCCTGAAAATCGAAGCCAGTCACCAACAATGGTTCAAAAAGAACCCCTCCCCCCAAAGTTAAAAGAAGCCTCCAAAATAAAAGGATGGCAAATCCCAAGGTACATCAACTGAAACTTATCAAGGGTCAAACTCTCTCAGGAGTCCAAGACAAAGTCCTCTCTCTCCTTGTCTCTCTCCTTCATTAAATAAAGGTGAAAAAACAGAGATGTCTGTTTACTTTCCTCTATCTCTGGCTAAGCACTGGATCACTATGACACAACTGTAGTCACCTGTTCCCAGGAGGTTGGCTAGTTATGAGTCTCAAGTTATACCCTCCATGCAAAAAGAAAATTTCCATTATGACCAACTGAGGTTGAAAGCAGCAATAATATCTCGGTATAAATATAAATATTTGTATTTTTCGCCAGGCGTGGTGGCACACGCCTTTAATCCCAGCACTCAGGAGGCAGAGGCAAGCAGATCTCTGTGAGTTCAAGGCCAGCCTGGTCTACACAGTGAGTTCCAGAACAGCTGGCGCTACAGGGAGACCCTGTCTCAAGACAAAAAAATATATATATATATGTATTTATATTTTTCAATTTTATTATTGATTTATGTGTATGTATATGTGCCTGAGTTAAGTTTTATGTGCACCATGTTGAATGCTGATGCCAGCTGAATTGGGAAGATAAGAGAAATTTAGTGGACTCAAGCTATGGGGGCTGTCCAATCTTTCCTTTCTATCATTGGACAGCTTCCTAGACTGTGCCTTTTCTCCTAGGTGGCTCTCCAAAACTGTTACTAGAGTTAAGAGTCAGAGACTAGCCGGGCATGGTGGTGCACGTCTTTAATCCCAGCACTCAGGAGGCAGAGGCAGGCGGATCTCTGTGAGTTCAAGGCCAGCCTGGTCTACATAGTGAGTTCCAGAACAGCTGGGGCTACAAGGAGACGCTGTCTCAAAAAGACCCCCCCCAAAAAAAGAAAAAGAGTCAAAGACTATGCGTCAACCACTTATCCTTAATACACCTATAAACAAACAAGTGATAGTGAAAAGAAAAGTGTGACCAGATTGGGAAGAGGGGCAAAGAGATTCAGTGACTTCCCTCCCAAAGTCTTTGTACTCTTTCTTAAAAACATATCTGTGTGTGTGCGTGTGCGTGTGCGTGTGTGTGTGTGTGTGTGTGTGTGTGTGTGTCTCCATGAGTTTCTGTGCACCACATGCATGCAGGTTCCCATGGAGGTCAAAAGAGGGTATTGGGTACCACCTTTAATCCCAGCACTTGGGATGCAAGGTGGGTGGATCTCTGTGAACTCAAGGCCAGCCTGGTATACATAGCAAGTTTCAGGACAGCTGGGGCTACAGGGAGATCTTAGGTCAAAAAGACCAAAAAAAAAAGGTGGTGGGGAGGCAGCATTGGATCCCCTGGGAAGTAGGATTGCAGGCAGCTGCAAGCCACCCAGTGTGAGCTCTGGGAACTGAAGCAGGGGTCCTCTGCAAGAGCTGTGAGTGCTCGTAACAGTGACTCCTACAAGTTGTCCTCTGACTCCGCATGTATACTTTGGCATGTGCACACACACATATACACAAGCAGACTCGAGAACATATAATCAGTCAATGTAAAAAAATTTTAATGCCAAAATAAAAATACAAGTAGGATCCAAGGTTAGAGCCCATTCACAGCCCATGGCACATAAGAGCCATTTCTCATGTCTTGGCTTTAGCAACTTTTGGAAGGAATGACAAATTATTTCATAATTGAGATTTTCTGTAAAACCTCCATGTATCATTCATCCTAGCCTCTGCACTAAGTGTGGGCCACTGTCTCACAGTCCTAAAGATTATTTATTTATTTTGGTCTTTTTGAGACAGGGTCTCCCTGTAGCCACAGCTGACCTGGATTTCCTATGGAGACCAGGCTGCCCTCAAATTCAGAGATCTGCCTGCCTCTACCTCCTGAGTGCTGGGATTAAAGGTGTGTGCCACCATACCTAGCTTCATTTATCATCTTTTAAAATATTTTATTTATTTTTATTTTATGTGTATGAGTATATTGGCTGCATGTATGTGAGTACACCTGTGTCATGCAATGCTGTGGAAATCAGAAAAGTGCTTCAGATTCCCCTGGAACTGGAGTTAAGGACGGTTCATAGCCGCCATGAGGGTACTGGGACTCGAACCTGGGTCTTCTGCAAGAGCAGTTAAGTGCTCTTAACCACTGAGCCATCTCTCCAGCCCCTATTTATTATTTATATTTCATGTGTATGAGTGTATTGCCTGCATGTATATAAGTGCACCAGTGTTATGCAACGCCCATGGAGGTCAGAAGAGGGCTGTGGATTCCACTAGAACTGGAGTTTAGCCAGTTTTTAGCCACCATGTGAGAATTGAACCAGGGTCCTCTGTAAGAGCAGACAGTGCTCTTAACTGCTGAAACATTACTCCAGTTCCCCAATTATTATTCTTTTAAAAAATGTTTCATTGTTTGTGGTTCCAGGGATGGAACCCAGAGCCTCACATGTTTAAATGTTCTGCCATTGAGCTATATCCCTAACTCTGTGATTCTTATGTTGATTCTTATAAATCTAAATGTATATTTTCACATAACTGAGTTAAATGTGTATATTTTAAGTAGATGCTAAAAATCATTATCATGTGCTAGAACACAAAAAAAACCACGAAACTGTCCATGACTTTGAAACTATGCACGCTGGCCACCTCCTGTGACCTGCTGTTGTTCTGGCCCTGGAGATGGCCAGGGTGCTCTGCAGAGGCCAGAGGAGGGTGTCTGATCCCCTGGAACTGAAAATAGTCCTTCTAACACAACTTACTTTCAAACACAGGACATATAGAGAGAATTCAAATAAAAAGAGTAGAAAACACTTAAAATACTGAATTAACAAAAAGGGATTAAAAATCTGAGATTGGAGCTGGAGACATGGCTCAGCGATTAAGAGCACTGGTTGTTCTTGCAGAGGAACTGGGTTTGGTTCCCAACACCCACATGGCAGCTAACAGCCATCTGTAACTCCAGTTTCAGGGGATTCAACACCCTCTTCTGGCCTCCACAGGCACTGCACAATGTGGATGCACTTACGTGCAGGCAGTCACACACACACACACACACACACACACACACACGAAATAAAAATAAATCTTAAAAAAAAAAATTAGGAGTTGGACGTGGTGGTGTATGCCTTTAGTCCCAGCACTCGGGAGGCAGAGGCAAGAGGATCTCCATGAGTTCATTGCCAGCCTGGTCTACATAGTGAGTTCCAGGCCAGCTGAGGCTACAGGGAGACCCTGTCTCAAAA